GCACACTTAAATACTAACACAATAAGGCACATAAAATTATCTACTAAAGCACACTTAAATACTAACACAATAAGGCACATAAAATTATCTACTAAAACACACTTAAATACTAACAGAATAAGGCACATAAAATTATGTACTAAAACACACTTAAATATTAACACAATAAGGCACATAAAATTATCTACTAAAGCACACTTAAATACTAACACAATAAGGCACATAAAATTATCTACTAAAACACACTTAAATACTAACAGAATAATGCACATAAAATTATCTACTAAAATACACTTAAATACTAACACAATTAGGCACATAAAATTATCCACTAAACACACTTAAATACTAACACAATAAGGCACATAGAATTATCTACTAAAATACACTTAAATACTAACACAATAAGGCACATAGAATTATGTACTAAAACACACTTAAATACTAACACAATAAGGCACATAAAATTATCAACTAAAACACACTTAAATACTAACAGAATAAGGCACATAAAATTATGTACTAAAACACACTTAATACTAACACAATAAGGCACATAAAATTATCTACTAAAATACACTTAAATACTAACACAATAAGGCACATAAAATTATCTACTAAAACACACTTAAATACTAACACAATAAGGCACATAAAATTATCAACTAAAACACACTTAAATACTAACACAATAAGGCACATAAAATTATCTACTAAAATACATTTAACTACAAACACAATAAGGCACATAAGATTATTTACTAAAACACACTTAAATACTAACACAATAAGGCACATAAGATTATTTACTAAAACACACTTAAATACTAACACAATAAGGCACATAAAATTATCTACTATAACATACATAAATACTTACCATGGAATATAATCATAAAATAATATTACCGACTATTACGTACATAACTATATATTAATACAATATGGTACAAAATACCATCAGCTAGCTCGTAGCTAAAACATACATAAATACATTCTAATACACTACGACACAAAGGTCACAAACCACAACAAACTTAAATAAATATTACAATAGTAGGGCACAAAAGGGTCAACAACCACAGCATATAGAAATTTGTACTCTGGAATGTCTTAAGGTAGACAAAGAAACGTAAAGGTACTAATACCGCAGGCATATTAAATTATCAAGTGTATAAGAATATCAAAAAACGTAATATTATAATTATTTATTTTTGATTACTGTTTTATTCCAAAACAATAACATCTTAATAATAACTTCTGAACAAGAGTAAGATGACTATAACAACCAGAATTAGCGTTCAGGAAGGCAATTCTAAAACTGCCATTTTCGGCTGCAATTCAGGATTTCCAACGTCGGGATATTATTGTCTCAATAATATACTTAAAGCTTTGTGACCGATTTTCATTATATAATTCAAAGAAAAGTTTCTTTCTGCAAGTTAAAAACATCTATAGCAAGTACGTTAACAATTGAACACGAAACAAATCCATGTTCGCGCCAAATTTTCGCGCCAGCTGGAAGTCGAGCACATGTTTTCATGAAATGACGCACATAATCTTAGCAAACACGGTAGGTGCTGTTGCCATAGCAACATCGATAAACCCAGACTAACTATTATAATATGTACTCTATAGATTGGGTATAAATGAAAATAGTGTGGATTCCCAATAATAATATAATAACAAAGAAAAACCAACAATCCCTTTCTCTAACTAACGTTTTACGTTTACGTATAACACATTTTATTCATTCAATTTCAAACATAAAACCTTGCATATAGTGTTGAAAAAACACTCAAACTAAAGTTTTTCCACACATAAACAGAGATATTACCTTAAGTTCACCTAAGGTTCGCTAGACAATGATCACAGTTTACAAACTTGACCTCTACTTGCGATAGTCTGATGTGAAACAGTAAAATATTTGTTTCAGATATACTACACATTCAATCTTAAAAATCTAAGTTTTGTTTTGTTTGTTTGTAATTAAGCACAAAGCTACACAATGGGCTATCTGTACTCTGCCCACCACGGGTATCGAAACCAGGATTATAACGTTGGAAGTCCGCAGACATACCGCTGTGTCACTGTGGGGGCATCTAATTTTTTTGCTGCTAAATTAGGCCACAAATTTATTTATTTATTTGAAACATCTCAGTGGTTAGGGCGCTTGATTCGCAATCTGAGGGTCGTGGGTTCGAATCCCCGTCCTGCCAAACATGCTCGCCCTTTCAGCCGTGGGGGTGTTATAACGTTACGGCAAATCCCACTATTCGTTGGTAAAAGAGTAGCCCAAGAGTTGGCGGTGGGTGGTGATGACTTGCTGCATTCTTTAGTCTTTCACTGCTAAATTAGGGACGACTAGCGCAGATAGCCATTGTGTAGCTTTGCGTAAAATTCAAACAAAACCAAACATTTCGGGTGAATTCTCACTAGACAGGTCACTCTTGACTTCGCTCCATACGCTCTTTGAGTTATGTTTCTTCTACTGGTATAGCATCATCTATTTATATTACATAACAGTTAATAAAGTTTCTCTTCCAACGTCAAAAGATAGTCCATAATGTTAGCGTGTTAGTTACCATACTCATCTACTTGCATCAAAAAGATTTCTTAACTTTCGTGTTTTTTAGTTAACATTTTTCTACTTACATCACAAGACAGTTAGTTCTTAAACACAGCGTGTTAGTTAACGCAGTGCTTTACTTACATCAGAGATCTCATTACATTAGTGTTTTAGTTGGAGATGGTAGTTAGAAAACCGTATTTACCATATACACCTAGGGAAATTGTTAACACGTAATATTTGTATGTTACACACGTAAAAATTGTACGCTCTAAGAACAAATGATGATATTTCAAAATACTGGGCGAAAGGCCTCGCCGGCATACTGGATATGGCAGATATAGTATGGTTGAAACATTACTACACGTTCTTAGAATTAGTAATGCAGTTTTCTTCCGTTGTTGACGCTGTTTGCTTGGGGGCAAGACAACTAGTTTGCTGGTTCTGAATGATAATAAAAGTAAATTCAAGTAAAAAAATGATAATCATAACTGGTGTTAACAATAAATAATATTGCCGTCCCTAATTTAGCAGTGTAAGACTAGAGGGAAGGCAGCTAGTCATCACCAATACTAGCCAACTCTTGGGCTATTCTTTTACCAACGAATAGTGGGATTGACCGCACATTATAACGCCCCCACGGTTGAAAGGGCG